TCTCTTTCCTTCCCCACTTTTATTAGGGTTTTCTGATGGTTTTTATAAGCTCGCACTAAAGATAACTGTATCCCTGACTCTTCTCTGCCTCCATAAATATGTCCTGTACATTTCTTCCACAGTAATGTTTATTAAATGCTGTTTTTTAGCATATCGCCCAGAACCTACAATATTTCTCTATATCCTCTATGGCTTTCAAGGCATTCCGTAAGTCATCCCCATCTCAGTTACTTTTCCCAATACAAACTTTCTTCTCTCAGGCCAGTTTCTAAGTATCCAACTGGCATTAGTACCTCCTTGCTTTTACTTATGCTTTTCTCTATCAGGAAGATCTTCCTCTTTCAGTAGCCTTATACTAATGAACTTAATTATATCATACTTCAAAGTTTAGCCAAGTCCTAGCACTGTCCTCATTCTAGACCTAAATACCTTAACTTGCTGAGCTATAATCACAGACCATTCCGCACAATTTTACTTTATTTGATACAGATGGGGTCTTGCTATGTTACCAGGCTGGTCTTGAACTCCTGGGCTCAAGTGATTCTTCCGCTTTGGCCTCCCAGTGCTGTGGTTACAGGTGTGAGCCATTGCACGTGGCCTCTGCACAATTTTGTTTCATATCTACTAGCCTTTTCTGACCTCTTATAATATAAGCTCACTGAGGGTAGAAGAGACAGTTGGATATATAAGGAAAATAAGACACCAATAATAGTCATAGTTTAGTGTACACTAAAAAATCTATACTATAAGATCTTGGTTTACAGCCAGGTGTGGTGGCTCATGCCTGTAATCCCAGCACTTTGGGAGGCCAAGGCAGGCAGATTACCTGAGGTCAGGAGGTCAAGACCAGCCTGGCAAACATGGTCTTGAACTCCTGTCTCTATTAAAAATAACAAAAATTAGCAGGCGTGGTGGTGTGTGCCTGTAGTCCCAGCTACTCAAAAGGCTGAGACAGGAGAATAGTTTGAACCTGGGAGGTGGTTATAGTGAGCTGAGATCGCGCCACTACACTCTAGCCTGGGTGACATAGTGAGATTCCATCTGAAAAAAAAAAAAGATCTTGGTTTACTGTGCTGTTAGAGAAACCTATTTAGATGTATAAAAGGAAGACTTAATAATGTTAACCACTGCTGTGAGGGAACATAACTAAGAATCTGCTCATTGCAGAAAAAGGAAACAATTGGAGGATGTTCTAAAATTATCTTCAGCTGCTTATCTCTAAAAGGAACTGTAATCTACAATTGTAAAATATTCTGTTTTGCATATTCTTATAAGAGCTCTTTTTTGGATATAGTCCAAACATAATTTTAAGTAATAGTTTTTAAGCGTTAATATGCTTTGTCTTCTAGAAAAGTTGTTTGGCACTAAACACTAAAAAGGCTTTCATGACTTGACACTAACTTATCTTCCAATTTTACTTTCTACTACCTGGCTCCTATGTTGCTTGCAAAAATCATTAATCATTTGTTAAACAAGTGAATCTCTGTTGCCACACACTCCAGAGCACACTATAAAGAGAAGCAGCCAAAATTAAGAGGCTTGTCCTTGTGACATTTTATTTGGTGTCATATTTAAAACCTCTGCTGCTTTTCTCTGACCATGGTGATTACTAGTGATGCCATGTTTCCCAAGAATGGCAGCGATGTTGCCTTTTCAATTTATTTCAGTTTTGGCTGTCTGGAGGATGACTGCCTGTCTCTTTCAGGTGACCCCAGATTATCTTAAGTGAATTTTACATAGGGCATGAAACTAATATACTGTATCTCAAATGTATTCTACACATGTTATAAAATTCTATCTAGTCTTTTCTCCCAATTTGGTAACAGAGAGAAACTTACCTTCTTTTATATAGCTTAAGCCTCTTCCCCTCCACCTTCCCCTCTTCACACTTTGTGCTTCTATAGTCTACTTATATTCCTCTGCTTCCTCTAAGACGGGGATCATTCTTTAAGTTCTCTTAAGCCAATTATATGAAGCCCTCACATCACCCTTCCTAATATAGCCTCCACTTGCCCCTAGTTCTCTTACTCTGTAATGATGTGTGTGTAAAACCAAAAGTGAAAACACAAGAACTGTCTGTTTTGCATTAGACTTGGCACTTGTACTCTCTCTCTTTCCATGTCTTAACCCTATTTGACTGTAAGCTCCTTAAAAAGAGAAGGTTATACCATTTTTATCTTTCTCTCTCTCTGCTTACTTTTCCAATTAGGGCTTGCACAGTCAGTCAGACACACACACACACACACACACACACACACACACACAGAGATAAAATGAATAGCATATATATTTAAAATCCTGACAATAAAAGAAAATCTATCATATGCTTCCTTAACTCACTAAAAGTCCAAATTTGTTTGATTAAAAGAAATAAAGATCATCAACCTCAAATTCTGTTCTCCTATTTCACATTTGTTGGCAGTATAGAAACTACTGAAGTTGCTGAAAAGGCATCTTAAACTAAAGCAATATTTTTATATTCTATTCAACTCAACTATGACTAACATTTCAATAATATTAATATCTACTTATGCAAAAGTTATGAAAAACCTGCCTCTATTATTAAGGCACCATAGACTTAACTGTATCTAAATGATTCAGAATAAAACTCATACCAAATTGTTTTGCTGAGATCAACTTACATAGTTGAACAGTTATTGTGTACTATTAAACAGTTGGCACATTTCACATCTTTGGCATGTAAAAGCCCATTGGGTGTAGATTTATGTTGTTTAAATGATGCCAATGTGTACTTCTCACCTTCTTAAATATGTCAAAATTCCTTAGGATGCCAAACAAAATCTATCCTCTGGGACTAAAATGTGCCAACAGTTTGATGGTACATGGAAGCATTACTGGAAAAACTTGAGAGGAGAAAAAAAAAGCCTTTTTCCCTGTAAGAGACTAAATTCTCATAAGTGAAAATGAATTATAGCTCTGGAAATTATCTGATGAATTCTAGGCCTGCCAACCAAACTAGATAATTCAGTACAAATTTTACAATGATTGCTATACAGTTTTTTCAACTGTATAACCTCTGAGTATAAAACTGGCTTTCTTAAAGCTTCTCTTGGCAACTGTGTTTACTGAGTTAAAGCTTCAGAGCAAAGCACGTCTATGAATTTAGAGAAAAAAATTTCTCAATTTTCATTTTCAGAATTGGAGTAGTGGGAGTAATGCTTAAGTGTAAATGGGGACTCTATGAGTAAATATTCAGGTAAATAGGTAAATATGTTCTTTACATCTGAAATGCAAAGGCTGTTGCCAATCATGGAAATTATGAATTTACTTGTGGTTTGACAAGTGTGTGCTTGCTTTGTGCTAGGGAGAAGGAGGTTTCATGTGTAATAAACATAACCTAAGATATCCGTAGGTAAACATATGGCATATGAGTATCACTACTTATTGGTATTTTCAATTTGGTCTTTCACAGCTCATGCATTTTGGGCAGGCACGGTGGCTTACACCTGTAATCTCAGCACTTTTGAAGGTCGAGGTGGGTGGATAATGAGGTCAAGAGATCAAAACCACCCTGGCCAACATGATGAAACCCCATCTACACCAAAAATTCAAAAATTAGCTGGATGTGGTGGGGTGCACCTGGAATCCCAGCTACTTGGGAGGCTGAGGCAGGAGAATTACTTGAACCCAGGAGGCAGAGGTTGCAATGGGCCGAGGTTGCAATGAGCCAAGATTGCACCACTGCTCTCTAGCCTGGTGACAGAGTGAGATTCTGTCTCAAAACAAACGAACAAACTCATGCATTTCACACTTTTAAAATAATGGCAATATAGCATAAATCTTAACATGAGATTCTGTAAATTAATCATTATTACTAAAATAAAAATCCTAACTAACTATAAAGAGTAGTAGATTCTACTTTAAAGTTTTTCCTTAACAACAACAAAAAAGTTTTGAAGAAGTATTCTGAACATACTGTGCATGTCAAGAAAACAAATTCCATAGCATGTCCACCATGGGAAAATCATACTTGAAACAGCCCAATACTGAACAAATCACAAATAAAAAGTGCTACACAACACAGACCCACAGTGAAAAAAAATTCCTCTAATATCCCTAATAAATATCAATCTTACTTTGAAAATGAACATATAAGCAGACTCAGTAAAAGCTGCATTTTCGTGTATTATAGTCATGTATACTTTCCAGAAATGATTAGTCTCAGGGAATTTTAATTGTGTCACTACACTTTAACTGGTTTTCTCTTTTTCAATACAAATCTGTCTCATCCTAACATTCCCCTATTTGTCATGAAAATGTTGGTATATAAGACCAAAATAACTAGATTTATCTTTTAAAATAAATTAGGGTAAAAAACACATGAGATCTACACTCTCAGTGACTTTTTAAGTATGCAGCATAGTGTTGTGAACTACAGGTAAATGTTGTACACAGATCTCTAGAACTTGTGCAATTGCATGACTGAAACTTTACACTCATTGAACAGCAACTCCTCATTTTCCCTCCCCTCAGACTGGCTACCACTACTTTATTTTCTGCTTTTGTTAGTTTGACAATTTTAGATACTCATATATGTAAAACCGTGCACTATTTGCCTTTCTGTGACTGGCTTATTTTATTTAGCATAATGTGCTCAAGATTCATCCATGCTACTGCATATGTTAGAATTTCCTTTTTTGATGGGGGAGGGGGGACAAAATCTCACTCTGTCACCCAAGCTACTGTATAGTGGCATGATCTCCGCTCTCTGTGACCTCAACCTCCCAGGCTCAGGCTCAAGTAATCCTCCCACCTGCACCTCCTGAGTAGCTAAAACTACAGGCACATTCTACCATGCCCAGCAAACTTTTTGATTTTTTGTAGAGATGGGTTTTGCCATGTCGCCCAGGCTTGTCTCAAACTTATAGTTTGAGACAATCCATCTGCCTCAGCCTTCCAAAGAGCTGGGATTATAGGTCTGGGCCACTACGCCTGGCTTTTTGTTTTTTATTTTCATTTATGTATTTATTTTGAGACAGGATCTTACCTTATCCTCCAGGCTGGAGTACAGTGGTGCAATCACAGGTCACTGCAGCCTCGAACTTCCAGGCCCAAGCAATCCTTCCATCTCATCTTCCCGACAGTTGGGACTACAGGTATGCATTATTTTTCTATGTTTTGTAAAGCCTGTATTATTTTTCTATGCTGTGTTGCCCAGAATGATCTCAAACTCCTGGCTCAAGCAATCTTCCCCTCTTGGCCTTCCAAAGTGCTGGGATTACAGGATTGAGCCACTGTGCCTGGCTGGATTTCCTTCTTTATTAAGGCTGGATCATATTCCATTGTACATATACACGACATTTATCTGTTGATGGACATTCAGGTTCCTCTCACCTCTTGGCTATTGTGGCTAATGCAGTGTAAAATATCTCTTCAAGATCCTGATTTCAATTCTTTTGCATAAATAGCCAGAAGTGGGATTGCTGCATCATATGTAAATTCTATTTAATTTTTTGAGGAACCTCCACAGTTTATACATTTTACATTTCCACCAATAATGACCATGGGTTACATCCTTGTCAACAGTTATTTTCTAGGTGTGAGAAGATAATCTTTTTTTTTATTTATTGCATTTTAGATTTTGGGGTACATGTGAAGAACATGCAAGATTGTTGCATAGGTACACACATGGAAGTGTGATTTGCTGCCTTCCTCCACATCACCGATATCTGACATTTCTCCCCACACTATCTCTCCCCAACTCCCCACCCCCCGCTGTCCCTCCCCTATTTCCCCTTTAACAGAGTGGAAAGGTGGCCAGTGTGTGATGCTCCTCTCCCTGTGTCCATGTGTTCTCACTGATAATCTTATTATGATTTTGATTTGCATTTCCTCCCTGATTTTGTAATTCTGAGCAGTTTTTCATATACGTTTTGGCCATTTGTATGTCTTCTTTGAAGAAATGTCTATTCAAGTCCTTTGCCCATTTTTGAATTGGGTTATCTGTTTGTTGCTATTCAGTTTTAGAGTTCTCTATATATTTTGGATGTCAATTCCTTATCAAATATATGATTTACAGATTTGCTAAGTATTTTCTCCCAGTCTTTAGGCCACCTTTCCACTCTGTTAATTGCTTCCTTTGTGGTACAGGAGATTTCATTTTTTAATAGTCCTACATGTTTACTTTTGCTTTTGTTACCTGTGCTTTTCATGTCATATCCAAGATAAATGTCAAAAAGCCTTTCTGTTATATTTCCTTCTAGGAGTTTTAAACAGTTTCAGGTATTATGGTTAAATCTTTAATTCTTTTTTTTTTGGCCAGTGGATATCCAGTTTTCCCAATACCATTTGTTGAAAAGACTATCCTTTCCTCATTGTGCATTCTTGGCATCTTTGTCAAAAACCAGTTGACCATACAAATGTGCATTTATTTATGGGCTGTGTTTTCTTTTCTATTGGTCTATATGTATGTCTTTATGTTAACATCATACTGTTTTGTTTACTGTAGCTTTGTAATGTTTCAAAATCAGAACATGTGAAGACTCCAGCTTTGTTCTTCTTTCTCATGATTATATTGGCTATTTTAGGTCCTTAGTGATTTCATATGGATTTTAGATTTTTCTATTTCTGTAAAATATACCACTGGGATTCCCATAGGGACTGCATTGAACGTGTAGACTATTTTGGGTACTATAAACATTTTAACAATATTAAGTCTTCCAACCTATGAATACAGTATTTCTCTTCATTTATTTATGTCTGCCTTAATTTCTTGCAGCAGTGTTTTATAGTTTTCAGTGTAAAAGTCTTTTACCTTCTTGGTTAAGTTTTTTCCTCTTTTATTTATGTTTATACCTCATAAATGAAATTGTTTTCTTAATTTTCCTTTTGACTGTAAGTTTTCCACATTGTCTTTTTAATCCAGCAACTTTGCTGAATTCATTTATTAATTCTAACAGTTTTTTAAATGGAATCTTTATGGTTTTCTACATATGAGGTGCCACCAGAAACAGACAGCATTTTGTTTCTTCCTTTCTGATATGGATGCCTTTAATTTCTTTCTTGTGCCTGGTTGTTCTGGCTAGGGCTTCCAGTACTATGTTCAACAGAAGTGGCAAGAATGGGCATCCTTGCCTTGCTCCTGATCTTAGAGGAAAAGCTTTCAGTTTTTCACCATATAGTATGTTGGTCGTGGGCTTTTCATACATGGTCTTTATTGTGTTGCTATAATTTCTTTTTATGCCTAGGTTCTCTTTTTATCATGAAGTTGTGATGACTTTTGTCAAATGCTTTTTTTAGGGTATATCATGTGCTTTTCTCATCCCTTAATCTGTTAATGTGGTGTATCAAATTGAATAGTGTTCTTATGTTGAGTCATCCTTGCATCCCAGGGATAAATTCCATTTGTTCATGATATATGATTCTTTTATTGTGTTGTTGACTTTGATTTGCTAGGTTTTTTGTTGAAGATTTTTGCATCTGTCTTGATCAGAGATAGTGGCCTATAGTTTTCTTTTCTTGTGGTGTCTTTATCTGGCTTTGCTATCAGAGTAATGTTGGCCTCATACAATGAATCTGGATGTGTTCTCTCCTCTTCAATTTTTTGGAAAAGTTTGAGAAGAATTGGCATTAATTCTTTTTTAAACATTTGGTAGAATTCACCAGTGAAGCCATCTGGTTCTGAGACTGTCTTTGTTGGAAGGTCTTTGATTACTGCTTCAATATCCATATTAGCTACATTGCTGTTTAGATTTAAAAATTCTTCATTATTCACCATTCATAGCCTTCGTAGGCTATATGATTCTAGGAATTTATCCATCTTTTTCCACATGATCCAATTTGTTGACTTATAATTGTTCACAGTAGTTTCTTTTAATCCTTTTTACTTCTGTACTGTCAGCTGTAATGTCTCCTCTTTCATTTCTTTATTATTTTTTTGAGATGAAGTCTTGCTCTATCACCCAGGCAGGAGTGTGTGATTTCAGCTCATTGCAACCTTTGCCTCCCAAGTTTTAGTGATTTTTCTCTCCTCAGCCTCCCTAGTAGCTGGGATTACAGGTGTACGCCACCACGCCTGGCTACATTTTTATATTTTTAGTAGAGGCGAGGTTTCACCATGTTGGCCAGGCTGGTCTCAAACTGCTGACCTCAAGGGATTCACCTGCCTCGGCCTCCCAAAGTGCTGGGATTACAGAAATGAGCCACCGCACCCAGACTCCTCTTTCATTTCTAATTCTATTTGAGTCTTCTCTTAGTCTTGCTAACGGTTTATTAATTTTGTTGATGTTTTCCAAAAACCAACTCTTAGTTTGGTTGATTTTTTTCAATAGTTTTCTTATTCTCCATTCTGTTCTAATCTTTTTTTCCCCCCTTCTTTCTACTAACTTTGGGCTTAGTTTATTCTTTTTCTAGTTTGTTGAAGTGTAGAGTTAGGTTGTTTGAGATCTTTCTTTTTTAATGAAGGTATTTGTTGCTATAAACTTTTCTCCTAGTACTGCTTTTGCTCTATTCCCCATGTTTTGCTTTTGTTTTCATTTGTCAAGATAGTTCCTAATTTTCCTTTTGATTTCTTCTTTGACCCACAGGTTAAGAGTGTGCTGTTTAATATTCATATAGTTGTGAATTTTCCAGTTTTCCTTCTACTATTATAGTTTTATTCCACTGATATCAGAAAAGTTACTAGGTATGATTTCAATCTTCTTAAATTTGGTAAAACTTATTTTGTGACGTAACATGTAATCTATTCTGAAGAATGTCCTATGTGTGCATGAGAAGAATGTATATTCTGCAGTGGTTGGGTATGGTGTTTTGTATGTCTGTTAGATACATTTAGTCTGCAGTGTTGTTCAAGTCCTCTGTTTCCTTACCAAGTTTCTGTCTAAATGTTCTATTATTTAAAGTGGGGTATGAAATCTCCTACTATTATTGTCTTGCTGCATATTTCTCCCTTCAGTTCTGTCACTCACTGTTTGCTTCATCTATTTGCATGCTCTGATGTTGGGTACATTTATATAACAATTTACAATTGTTATATCTTCCTGGCGAATTATCCCTTTTATCATTACATAAAGTTCTCCTTTGTCTCTTGCGTCAGTTTTTGACAAAAAGTATATTTTGTCTGATGTAAGTATGGCTACTCCTACTCTAATCTGATTGTTACTATTGCCATTTTGTTGTTTTTTGTCTTATCATCTCTTGCAGTTTTCCTTTGTGTTTTGTTTTGTTTATTTCTTTTTAGTGACATGCTTTGATTCCTTTATCATATTCTTTTGTATCTTTTAAAGGTATCTTCTCTGTGGTTACCGTGGAGCTAACACAAACCATTTTTACAGTTATAACAATATATTTTAAGCTAATAACAACTTAACTTCAAGTGCATACAAAAGCTATTCTATTAGTCCTCCCACTCACTTGATACTTTGATGTCACAAAGATCTTGTTATATTGTGTATCCATTTGTTTATTTTATATAGATATTTATTATGCTTTATCATTTAACTTCTATACTAGAATTAAAAGTGATTTATATACCATTATTACAGTGTTACAGTATTCTATATTAGTCTATATATTTTACTGTTACCGGCAAGCTTTATACTTTCCTCTGCTTTTGTGTTAATGTTTAGTATGTTTTCATTTCAACTTAAAGGATTCCCATTAGCCTTTCTGGGATGGCAGGTCTGGTGGTGATGAAATCCCACAGCTTTTGAATATCTGAGAGAGTCTTTATCTCTCCATTTTTGAAGAATAGTTTTGCCAGAGATACTATTCTTTGTTGGCATTTTTTTTTCATTCAGCACTTTGAATATATTATCCCATTCTCTTATTGCCTCCAAAGTTTCTGCTATTAAATCTGCTGATAGTCTTATGGAGTTTCCCTTGTTGACAAGGATTCACTTTTCTTTTGCTGTTTCAAAGTTATCTATGTCTCTTATTTCTGACAGTTTGATTATAATGTGTCTTAGTGTTGACTTCTTTGTATTCATCTTATTTGAGCTCCATTGGGCTTCTTGAATTTGAATATCCATTTTTAGCCCCAGATTTGGGGAGTTTTTGACATTATTTCTTTAAATAGCTTTCTGCCTGTATATTTTTATAGTTATAGATATTTATTATGCTTTTATCATTTAACTTCTATACTAGAATTAAAAAATAATTTATATACCACTATTACAGTGTTACAGTATTCTGTATTTGTCTATATATTTACCTTTACCAGCAAGCTTTATATTTTATATATATATATATATATATATATATATAGAGAGAGAGAGAGAGAGAGAGAGAGAGAGGGAGAGAGAGTCTTTGAAAAAGAGAGATAATTATATACATACAGACTATATATATATATATATATATATATATATATACAGAGAGAGAGAGTTCTTCACAGACTATGCACGCACACACACACACACCTGCTTAATGGTGTCCCTTAATTCCCCCAGACTTTCTTCACTTTTTTTTTCTTTTTGCTTCTCTGACTGGATAATTTCAAATGACATGTCTTCAAGTTTGATGATTCTTTCTTCAGCCTGATCAAGTCTGCTATAGAACCATCTAAGGAATTTTTCAGTTCAGTTATTGTACTCTTCAGCTCCAAAAGTTGTTTGGTCCTTTTATATTTTCTATTTGTTGAAATACTCATTTTGTTCATGGATAGTTTATTTGAGTTTAATTAACACATTTATGATGGTTACCTTGAATTCTTTGTCAGGTAATTCACATAACTGTTTTTTTTTTTTAGGGTTTGTTTCTGGAAATCTATTTTCCTCCTTTGATTGGGCTATTTCCCTGTTTCTTTATGTTCCTTATAACTTTGTGTTGGTATCCATACATTTCACAAAGTAATTACCTCTCTCAGTTTTTTCAGACTGGCTTCGTACAGAGAAAGATTTTTGCCAATCAGCCTGGCTAGAGGTTCTGGGAGTCTTTCAAGCTTTTTCTCTGGATGTGACACTGCTCTAAATTTGTGTGTTTAGATTCTTGGATTTGCTGGTTTCTTTTTTGTTCAGGAGCTTGTAATCTCTTGCTCCCTCTTATTCCTTTGATGTACTGAAGGTCCTCTAAAGCAGCAGGATATCATCCAGCTGTTTTTTGTTCTCAGTGACCCCAGGCATCTAGAATATGCTGGCTCCTGTCAGTGTCCCATGTCAGGCTATAAGGAAGTCAACCCCTTGGGGAGCCCCCTAAGATGCTAGAATGTTGAACACATGCTCCATTCTTCTCTTTCTCTTTGAGGTAGAGCTAACCAAGTTGTATTTTCCTGTGTCTGCTATATTGCAGTTTCTGGAGCAGTAGCACACTGACAAGCTCTTGTTCTCATGCCCTCACACATCTAGGGTATGCCAGGTCATGTCAGTGCTCTGAGAGAGATGACACAGAAGCCAGTACCTTGGGAGGCTCCCCTCAGAAATCAGAATGTTGGATATTTATGATCTAGTCTTCTCTGTCAATGGAGAAGCTTAGAACTGCGAGTTTCCTTTTGAATGATATTCCCTCCAAAATTCATGTTAAAACATAATTCCCAATACAATAATATTAAGAGGTGTGGCCTCTGGGAGGTGATAGAGTCATGAGGGTTCGCCTTTACAAATGGAATCTGAGGTTGAAGGGAATGTGCTCTTGCTTTTCTGTTCCTTGCACCAAGTGATGATGCCTAGACAGGCCTTCACCAGACACTGAATCTTTGGTGCCTTGATCTCGGAGTTACCAGCCACCAGGATTGTGAGAAATAAATGTCTATTGTTTTAAAATTACTCAGTCTGTGGTATTTTGTTAAAGTAGCATAAATGGACTAAAACACTTTCTAATTGACTGGGAAAATGCAAGGAAAATGGTGACAGTGCAATGAATTTTCCTGTTGGCTTAGAGTAGCTAATTTTGCACTTGCCTGGTGTGTGGGTGTCTTAACTGGTTTCTGGATTTCTCACAAAGGGACCTGGTCCATGTATGTTGTCGAATTGGTATTTCCACAGAAGGAAATAATATCTGAGGATTCCTATTCTACAATCTTGCTGATGTCACTACTGGACTTTTCTTAAGCTGGCTTCCTTAATAAGACAATCTCACTGATTAATAGCCACTAAACGTATCTGAAGAAGGATAAGTCTCAGCCAAACTAATGGTGCTGTAGTCAAAGAAGCTGAAGCTGAAGATACATGCTCTGTCATTAGCCTGTACTGTGACTGTGATAAGTTACCACCTTTTTGAGTCTCAGTTTCTTTCTGAATTATATGTAGACAAGATAGAAGAGAACAAACATCTTTGGAAAAAGCTCTTATTCAAGCTGTGTCACACTCATACTCATAACCAATTTTATAATTAATAGGCAAACTGGTTGTTTGATGAAAATGGCTGGGTGTATAAGGATGGCAATCAGTTTCTGGAGTGTAGTAGTAAATGGGTTAATTCATTAAACAGCCTAAGCAGTTATGCATATAGAAAGCCCCAAAGCTTTCCCATTAAACAGATTCCCACGATAACCAAACAAAAGTAGGGTAGAAGAGCATGACAATAAAAACTTTTTTTTGAGATCTAAAGTTTGATTTCCAGTATGTCAGTATTGGTATCTGTTATTATTTTTATTACACATTATGCCACTAGAGACTTTATATTTTCTTTCCCCAAATGATTAGTTACCTATAATTTCATTTTATATTTGTATCATCCCCATGAGGTAGAGTCTGAGGAAATGGGCCCATATATATTTTTATTGCTAAGTTAGTACATAGATACTAATTGCAGAAACAATCTGTTCAGACCACAGAGCTTCGGTACTGATTGTTATTATGGTTTAGTACAGCCATTATAACTTACAGTAGACATCCTAGCTCATAAAACATTTTGAAATATACTATATGTATAACTTGCTTAGCCCTCATAAATGAACAAGCACATTTTAAAATGAGCTGCAATTACAACATTCTGTTTTACTAGTTTAAAACATTTCTTTTGGATTTTCTTTGAAATTTGGAAGCGAATGAAAGCCAGGAATACCATGAAATTTTCTCCTCTAGCTAATAAGACTATTCTGTGCATTAATATAAATAAATTTATTCTATAATTTCTTTCTATTATGAAACAATTCAAATAGAAAGCTCAATGTGCCTTCCTAACACTCATGGTGTAATTTGTCATGAGGTAAGGATATCATACTGTACCCTTTTAATCTAACTTTAATTTTGGTTTCTAAACAATATACATCTCTTTCAAGGTTAAAAGCACTGAAAGTACACATGAACACTAAGGAAAATCTTAAAATTTCCTGAAATGCATTAGCCGTCATATTTATATAACAAATATCTTGTTTGTTTATGATGATCTACATCATTAATCCAGATAAATAAATGGTAAAGTGAAGGGAGCTGGGTTTGCTGTGTTGCCCATTGCCCAGCAACCAATGGTTACAAGTGTTCTGCAGCAGAGCACTGCTACAAAGACTTACGAGGTTTTGCAGCATATGCTACTTTCTATATCTATATTGATTCAGGCAGAAGTCTAAGAACTCACACTTACTAATGGTTAGCTGGGCAAGTTTGGGGTGTTTACTTTTTAAAAACGTTACTTCCCTAAAATATTAATGTTTGTCACAATTAGGGTAGTAGGTACACAGAAGCTAATAGTACCTACATGTCTGAAATACTAAATTTTTTGACAAAAGCATAAATGTCTACCAAGTTAATTCTATGCATTTATTCTTTAAAGGCCATTTTTATGAACTTGGAAAAAATTATAACAGTAATATATGCTTATAATAGATTAATATAATGTAAAATAATATATGTATAAAAGAAAAACTAAAAATGTTCTTCCTGTTAATTCCCTAGTTTCATCCTCTGTGGTAACAACCCTTTAACAGATTATATGTTCTTCTTTATTATTGAAAGCATTTTTTCAGAATAAACTGTAAAGTAACTATAGATCTGATCACAGCAAAAAAAGAAACTTCCTTGAAACAAATTTTATAAATGGCATAAAAACATGTAATATAAGAAAAATGATAAAATCAAATTTTTTCTATCAACCTAGTATATCATTATTAATGATATAAAGCAAATATCTTTTAAAACCTATAATCATCTTTATTCTATTGTTGGAGGTTATTTCTCTTATATGTTTTGTTTATATGCTTTTTGGGGAATTAATATCATGGCAATATTTCATGCTTGATATAAATAGTAACAGACATTTTATTTTTGAGATAGATAAGCCTCTTTAAGTTGAAAAACATACTTGTAGGCATATGCATAAGATGCTGCTTAGCATCTCAGCCAACAACACTGTTATTCAATAGATGTGCACTTAGAGTATCTATTCTGAATGCTTGAAGCTATGCAGTGTTTGTGCCACAAATACGCTGAAGATACATGCTCTTTCTGTCAACAACCTGTCCTATGACTATGGTAAGTCACGTTTTTGAGTCTCAGTTTCTTCATTATTCAATAATTCTTCATTATTCAAGCAGTCATTATGTGAAACAATAATAACATAATAACAGATAATGAGCATATTTCCTGCCTTCACCATCAGAGCTTACTTGTCTTTGATATTCTTTAGCGTATACAGTGAAAAGTATAAAGACAAGATAGATACATTTACTATGTTCACTGACATTAATACATGTTTGGGAGGGAGGGACTTATATCCAAGAATAAGTGAACACAGCAGCTTTTGTGGCGAGGCCCTCTGAGCAGTTTGGAATAATTTATGAAGGAAATGTTGTTTGGATATTCAATAAAAGTGGTACCCTTATCTTCTATTCTTTTTTTTTTTTTTTTTTGAGACAGAGTTTCGCTCTTGTTTCCCAGACTGGAGTGCAATGGCACGATCTCGGCTCACCGCAACCGCCGCCTCCTGGGTTCAGGCAATTCTCCTGCCTCAGCCTTCCGAGTAGCTGGGACTACAGGCACGCACCACCATGCCCAGCTAATTTTTTGCATCTTTAGTAGAGACGGGGTTTCACCATGTTGACCAGGATGGTCTCGATCTCCTGACCTCGCGATCCACCCGCCTCGGCCTCCCAAAGTGCTGGGATTACAGGCTTGAGCCACCGCGCCCGGCCATCTTCTATTCTTTAAGAAGAAGTGCTGCATGATAATTCTCCCAAGTCCTCCTTCTCCATAAACTACCTAGTCTGAGCCAATAAACAACCTTTCAAATTTTTCTATGTACAAAAAGTAATTAATATCTACTCTCCTTTCATAATCAAAAACATTTTTAGTTAGCAGTTATTATGTGAAGCAATACAACGAATGAGACACAGCTTTCCTCTTGTTAGTCTCCCAAACAAACACTCTACATATGTTCCCTTTAAAGTTAAAAAAAAACACTGTAAAAACAAAGTTCTTTTTTTTTGAGGACGCTGATACTGTCCACAGATACTGATGTTTCTTATGGCCATATTCACAAAGATTATTATAAAATTATGAAATTTGAGCTATTTATTATTGGTCTTTTATTATAAAACATTTCATTTTGAAAGTGAGACAAGGCTAAGTGTTAAAAGATATAGTTGAAGCTTATAGGCAGTTCAAGAACTATTTCCTACTCAGAAACAGTTCATTATAAATTATGTTTCTGTTTATTACAGAAAAACAGTATTAACATGCAAACCAACACATCAATCAATTCATATTATATAATATAATCCAGTGGTTCCCAAAGTGTATTTTTTGGAAAACTGATTCTCTATGGTAGGATTTACATAAAAGAGGGTTCTATAATCAAATAATTGTGAAAAATGCTGGGCTAAACAAGGTAATATGGTGTTTTTTTTTGACATTAGGATTCCTTTGTTTTTTGGCCACCTGCCCCTTCATTGGGATTTCTATGTTACTTTACAAATTTTAAATAGAGAACATATTATGCTGAGTTTCCTCAGCGTATTTGACCAGAGAATTCTTTGTTGATTTGGAGCATCTGAAAGAATTACCGTTACACAGCATGCATCTGGAACATGCTGGCATATCCTCTCCTGTAAGATTAGTTACCAAAAATCACAAATGATCCCAATATTCCTTACAGTCTCCCTTTTCATGTGTTCCCCTGTATCCTGTCCTCTTCATTTCTTCCTTTTTAAACTGCTGTAATACCTGTTCCCTGGTCTCCTTTCCTCCACCCTCTTCTGTACCTTGTCTAACAGTGAACTTCCCCAAATTTCCATTTCCCACAGGTCACTCTAATGAAAAGCCTTTCTACTATATATGTGTGTGTGTGTTTATATATATATATATATATATGTATATATATGTTTATATATATATGTTTATATATATATATTATATATATATATATAATAAACAGATCATATATATATATATATGATCTGCTTTTTCAGTGCATGAATAATTATCTGCTCTTTTTTCAGTTCTCCAATAAGAATCTTTTGGAGGCAGACTATCAGGGTTTGAATCCTCCATGTGTCCTTTACCACAGAGTGATCTTGGGTATTAGTTACTTCAGCTGTAATATGGGGATAATGATGTCATATACATTAAGGTCTTTTGAGGATTAATGAGTTAATACACTTAAAGTGCCTAGAACAATGTCTGGCACAACACGTTAGCCATTATTTTGCTGTAGGTAGATTGGGTCTGTCCAGCAGGTGGGCCCAGCTTCATTGGCATCAGACAGAACCCTGTGCTTCAAAAGGTCCTGTGTTTGGGGTTTAATGTTCTGTGTTTGCTGTCTGGAAATTCCTAATGATTTCATTATTGAATTTATGTTCTATGAATGAAGTTTGTGGGGACAATGAAGTATGTGTGGACCTGGGGCAGCATGTGGAGTGCTGGCTACTATGCAGTCCTGTCTTCTGGCCTCTAGGATGGGTAGTTCACACCTGCTCTGCCATACCCTAGGGCTTCAGCCCTCAAGGCCTCCCAGACTCCTCTATCCTTCCTAAGTGACTAGTGACTGCTATTGCTCTCTGCTTAGTTCAGGGCCTGGGTAATGGTATAAAAAGGGTTAGGGTTAACTCATGGCATCTTAAGGTGGGACATGGAGGCAGTTGTCCTGACCTAAACTGGCAGTGCCTCAGAATGTTTGGGTAGGGATAAGCTTCTTGTCCACCTCCCATCCAGGTACCTATCACATTTCAGCATGCAGGCTACAACAGCCATCCAGAGAGGGCTGGGGCAGTGAGCCTGTGGGAGGGTGATGCCTGGCTCAACTTCCCCATTTCTGGTGACCACAGCCCATCAGCTCAGTGGCTGGCAAGAGCAAAAATCTGATACTTAATGGGCCTCTGTGTCCCAAATTGTGGGGTGAGACACCCCCCCACCTATGTCCTGTGAAGTCTGTGCTAAGTATCCCTGTGCCTGAAGAAGCATGACCTTAATTAGCAAATAAATACAGCAGTACAGGTGGAGAGAGGGAGAATGGGGGAGAGAAAGAGAGAGTGACAGAGAGAAAGGGAGGCACCTTTGGAGAAAAGGAAAAGGTTCATATTTTAGTACTGTTAATGGCAAGTCTTCTGGTTTTCTGAACCACAGGACTCACATTTTCATTTTCACTGGGCCCTGCAAATTATGTAGTCATTTTGCCTGCAAGGCTTACTTTCTTCCACAGAAGGTTTATAAAACTTTTACTAGGTATTTTCACTGAGAAGTCACAGATGACTGGTTATTAAACTATCTGAATATAGACAATGGCAACTGTAAACATTATATATAAATTTTAAAATGTATAATTAAAAAAACTCATACTACCTCAACATTTCCAAGATTACCATTCTCTTTATTCCACATAGTGGAAATCAAGTACTGCCTCCTTCTTCCTGAATTCTCAAGTATTAATCATTTGTGTTTTGGACAAAAGAATGAACAGTAAAATCAGATAACAACAACAAAAATGACAAATTAAGAGTTTTCTGTGGGAAGTTTTCTCTTACTTCCAATGGCCAGGTTGGATAGATGTGCTTTTATCTGAGAAATATTGCAATTATTTAATATTTGACATATTATGTATGTCATATGTTTATCTAATAATGACATAAATTACCATTAAGTTATAATTTTTCACCCAAAATATACATCAGTATTTTCCACAACAAATATTGTGGAAGCTGCTGGCCACAGGGCTGTCTATCAGGCTGCTGTGGGTACATAATAAAAGTGGGGAAGGCAATGGAGAGGGCCACAGCATCAGTCAGGGAGTAAGTAGTAAAGCTGATCTCATTAGCATTACAACAGGTCATAAGTTATTGCCAATTATTTAAGTTATAAAGATGGCAAGATCAAGCCTGAAAAGCATATAAAAACAAAATAAATATGTCATGAAGCCTATGAATTATACACATTTTTAGTTGATAACGTTTTGGTTTTTTCATTTCAATATCATTTGCAATTGAACCGTTTTACTGAGAAATGATTTGCTCATTTATATTTTCTGATTGATTAATGTCCCCAGGGTCCTGCCAAATTTGAATCTACTACCCCCAAAATTCCCCATGACAAGACCTGCCACTGCTTCAGAAGTGTGCTGAATGAAAGAACGCAAATCCAGATTCCAGCTGAGCAGTCAGGAAGCATCATCATGGGTTGAATGGAAAATCAGGAGTTGAATACACAGTTTTAGAAAACACATAAAAAAAAAAAAACCAAGATCGTTAAAAATTCTAACAAACCAAAATCAGTGTTGTAATACAGTACTAATGATATCTGTAGCTAGAACCTATGTTATAGTTCACGATCTTATAATTTTCTATTTCTTTTAATGGCAACAGGTTAATAATATCCACAAGGAAAATCAAGCACACCAAAATCAAAAGGAACCTATTGGCACAAGGCATCTTGGCATCAGACTAGATTTACACACGCTGACATGTCAAAAGCCTTGAAACAGAAACTTCAGAACCTCCTCATGAATGCTGAAGGCAGCTCATTGACTTCATACTAGCTCAAAAGTACATCTTTCCAGGGATGGCATTCAACCACACAATCAACAAAACTGGCAAACAAAGCCTGAATATGTACTTGGCAGTGAAAGTCTTAAAGCAGAACAAAATATAAGGCAGCTTCCAAAGCTGCCAAGTTTCAAATAAGAATCCAAGACTCTAAATACAAAATAGGGAGTAAGGCACATTTTGAATAGCAATTTTGACTGATAGGGCAGAGTGAGCAAATTGAGCAATAGCCCCCATTCCTGTACCATGATCACAAACTCCCCTGGCCTGTCTTCCTAAGCTGGGCAAGAGAGCAAAGGGAACATGATTTCATTCCATCTGGTACTTGGCACTTATCTTCCTTTTTGCTTTATCTTGCAGTGCGAATCTGCTCATGCCCTGGTGTCCTCTCCAACTTTTCTTCCTAGCTATGCTGTTTGTGTTTCTTAAGAGCAAGTATTGTGCATAGTATGTCACACTTAGTACCACTCACTAGTGGACATTTAAGAAGGATATTTTAAATGTTTGGTTGGGATAACTTTAATTGATTACTTAGTACTCCTCTCAGTTAAGGTGTAAGTTTCAGTGAGTTCAAATTCTACCAGAAAATTTAAAAGCCTGCTTAGTTTTACTATTCCTTACCAACTACTCCTTCGCTAAGCAACTGAGAGACTTTTATTCCCTTTATCTATTTTTTGGAGCCTTACTATAATATAAGGGTGCTGGAATGCACGCCTGCATCAGCGGGTTACCACTTCAGTACAATTCAAGCAAAACAATTTGAAAAAGTGCCAAACTATCTAGGGATTGGGCAGACAATAGTGACCCTTCATGATTCCATGAATAATGTAAACAGGGAACATATTGCCGAGGTCAATGGAAAGTAAAAAAAAGTAATTGCCTAGAAAGAAAAAGAGGTGTAAGATTTTAGGAGGACAAACAGCATTTGAAATGGAGATCATATTGTTTACACAATAAGTTCCGAGTTTTCATTTTTCCAGTGCCAAGACTGTGTTAATTACAATTATTTATCTTAAAAGTTTCTGCAGTCACAGAACTATGGTGAAAATCTGTGCCTAACTCTTCTCTTCTGCTTGAATAAAAATAGATGATGTAGTAGTCCCTATAACTTCCCTTCAACAAAAGTATGTCAGAACTTTTAACACAAAAAAACACTCGAAAAAAACAGATGGGGCACAGTGGCTCATGCCTGTAATCCCAGCACTCTGGGAGGCCGAGGTGGGTGGATCACGAGGTCAGGAATTCAAAACCAGCTTGGTAAA